CTCCTGGTTTGCGGTCTGCGCCGCCACTTCTTCTGCGGAGAGAGGCGCGATGCCTGCACGTTCGGCCGCAATTGCTTCGGCGTGCACGTCGTCGTTCTGTTGAGCTTGCACAGCCTCTGCGAGCGAGTTTAGGTAGGAGTCGGTTTGTCGGATCAGATGCGTGATACGAGTATCTTTTGCAGTGTCGATGAGCTTCAAATAAGCCTCTTCGTCGTCGGCCTTCAGGGCCTGCAGACGCTCTTCGGCAATTCGTTTGAGACGTTTTGCTTCCTCCTTCTCGGTCTCGCTATGGAAGCGTAGTACCAGCTTTCCGATGCGCTGAGCGTTCGTCTGCACGGCTCTGTGAGCCGCCTGCAAGTCTCTGCCATGATTGACGATTGTAGCGAGGTAATCGGTGTGCTTCTGCCTGTTTCGGCGTTCGCGATCGACCCGCTGCTTGCGTTCAAGCTGCTCAGTCATACGTGCATCTCTTAAAGTCTGCTTCTTGACCTTTCTGAATGCCGTCCTGTCGAGAGCAAGGGTCGAAGCTGAGCTGAAGGTACGTACAACGGACTGTCGTAGCTCTTTCTGCTTTTCCAGCAATCTCAAGCTCTTGAGCTCGATGAGGGCTTTTATCTTGGCGTTGTCCGCCTGATATCCTGACTGTAAGAGCGGGTTGTCTTCGAACGAGCCGCTCATAGTACCGTCGCGACTGCCCGATACCTCGCTCGCCTCCTCCTTGATGGCTGCCTCTTCTGCACCGCGGATCGTGGGGCGCTGAGACATGGTGGATGGCAGATTCTCGAGCTCTCTAATGCGCTGATTGATACGGGCAGCAATCATCCTGTCCCTTTCTGTTGCGAGAACGAAAGGGTCAAGTCCTGCTGGCATGAGGCTTGGAACAAGCAGCCGTTGCTGCTTGGTCGCTGTGAGATCTTCGGAACCCGTCGTTGGCCGCTGCAAGTAGGTGAACGGCAGTCGGTAAGCGTTGTAAGGATACACTGCGCTAGAAGGGTCGTCACTTGGTAGTGTTGGTCTTGACACCTCTGCGCTTTGCGAAGCACCTGCCTCGCCGGTCTCGTCCGCTGTCGTCGCTTTCGACTTCTCCTCTTCAGACCCGTTTGTGGCTGCCAGGTGCAAGGCAATGCCAGCTTCCGCGACTTTGCCGGCATCGCCAGCAGCAGTGAGATCCGGTAAACCTCCGCGTATATCATCTATAGCCTGGTTGGGGTCGAGCAAAGCGCTGTGCAGGTGAGCTGGCAGCGGTACGTTCCTTGAGATGAGCTTGAATGCTACGATTTGAGCGCGCAGGGTATCCAGCTGCTCCTTGGAAAAGACGCTGGTGGATTGAGAGGCCCCGTGAGGAGCTGTGACGGGTGCAGCAGTGACGGTGGGCTTGCTGACAGGTGTGCTCGAACCATTAGCCGGCGACGATGTTTGAGCGCTAGGCACGCTGCTAGCGACTGAAGTCTGGGAGACGGCAACAGCCGATGATGTCGGAGCGATGGTGACGGGAGCCGACCCAGGCTCTGTGCTCGTGGTCGCCGGCGCTGGGGCTGGGGCGGTTGTGGAAGTACCCACTGCGGATGTGCTCGGAGGCGCTACGTCGGAAGCTGCTGAGTGGGAAGGGTCAGAAGCGTGAGTCCAGCCACAAGCGTGCTCGCAATACGGCTCCCTTGCTGACTTACCTTGCGATGGGGTAGGTG